AGGAAGTGTGTGCGGAGTGAGTGCGGGCTGTCCCCGGGTGCGGGAGGGCCGGCGGCACCCCCTAGCGGCCGCACTGAGCCTCGCGCCCGCCTGCCCGCCGCAGGTGGAGTCTGGCTCACTCGGAGCGTTACGCCCTGCAGTTTGCTGACGGGCACAGGAGATACATCACCGAGAGCGTGAGTCCCTTCCTTCCAGGCCACCCTGTAGACTCCAGAGGAACCTCCCTGTGACCCCTTCTCATCTACCGGGCCCTGATCCTTCGGACCCATCATGCCCTATTCTGAAACGGGATCTTGTGGTGGTGGAGTGGCCATGGCAGAGGCAGCTCAATTGACTCCGATTCAGCGACCCCAGAGGACAGAGTAGATCTGCCCCATACTGTTTCCAAGGCCGGAAGGAGCCCTAGTGACACCGTGGTTAAGCAACTGGCTGGGAACCAAAGGTTGGCAGTTTGAATCCGCAGGGGTCCCCAGGGTTAAGATGACAGCCTTGGAAACTCCCAAGGGGGCAGTTCTGGCTGGTCCTCCGTCCTGGGGTGGGGTGGGGGTGTCTTGAGTCAGAACTGCTGCCATGGCGGTGGGTTCGGGTCACCGAGTCTTTTCTCCGTGGAGCAGTGGGCAGGACTGAAGAAGCCCAGACCTCTCTGCTAGCAGTCGGGAGCTTAGTCTAGGCACTAGGGCTCCTTCATCTTGCTTTTTCTGACCCCCAAGCCTCCTGACCCTGTCCTGCTGTGTCTTCCACAGAACCGTGGGGAGATCAAGAACGGCAGCATCCTGTGCCTCAGCACTGCTCCAGTAATGCTCTTCCTGCCCTCTCCCCTTGTCCCCCTCCCCCTGCCCTGGACTGTGCCGCCTTTCTGCCCTCCCCCAGCCCCTTCACCTCTGTCCCTGCCCCTACCAGGACCTAGAGGCCCAGAAGCTGCTGGCTGGGCTGCAGAGTGGGAGCCGCGAAGGGCGCCGGGAGGCCCTGCAAGACCTGGTCCTTCTGGCTCCAGACCTGACCTTTGCCCGGGAGGTCATTAGCCGCAATGGGCTTCAGAGGCTCGGCACCATCATTGAGGATGGGGATGAGTGAGCGAGCGTGGGGCTGTGGCGGGGAAGGGTACCTGGGGGTGGCAGGGTGGCGGGAGGGCTGTTCTGGCCTGGTGCTCAGCATCCTACGTCCTCACCCAGCCTAGGGGAGGTGCTGGCCCTCGGGCTACAGGCCTTCTCGGAGCTCATGGAACATGGAGTGGTGTCCTGGGAGACGCTGAGCATCCCCTTGGTCAGGAAGGTGGGTGAGCTTTGCCCGGGCAAAGAGTGGGGACAGCGGGGCAGCATTGGGACCAACCAGCCTCAGTGGGGGCGCTGACCACCCCACCCCACCCCCCGCCCTCACAGGTGGTGTGCTACGTGAACACGAACCTGATGCATGCCTCCGTGCAGCCGCTGGCCCTTGGGTTGCTGGAGAGCGTTACCTTAAGCAGCCCAGTGCTGGGCCAACTGGTCAAAAGTGAGGTGCCCCTGGACCGGCTGCTGGTTCACCTTCAGGTGTAAGTGCCAGGATGGGGTGCAGGTGGGAGGGGGGCTGGTCCCAACCCCACATGGCCTCTAAGTGCCCCTCTCGACACAGGATGAGCCAGCAGCTGCAAACCAAGGCCTTGGCACTGTTGACAGCCCTACTGCAGGGGGCCAGCCTGGCCGATCGCAAGGTGGGTGTCTCCTGGGGACCCCCTGAAACCTGGAGGCTGGGTGGGGGGTGGCTGGCTCATCTCCATTCCCCCTCCCCCCTCAGCACATGCTCGACTACCTGTGGCAGAGGAACCTTCGCCAGTTCATCTACAAGGTAGGAAAGGCAGGGCCAGGGCCACCCCTTGCCACTCACCCTCCCTGGGCCTGCCTGTGCTCACACCCACGGGCTAATGGTCTCCCAGAACATCATCCACAGTGCAGCGCCCCTGGGCGACGAGATGGCGCATCATCTGTACGTCCTGCAGGCCCTCACGCTGGGGCTGCTGGAGCCACGAATGCGGACGCCACTAGACCCCTACAGCCAGGTACGTACAGCTGGGTCTTGGGAAGAGGCAGGGGGCAGCTTGGAGCTTGATCTTGACCTGCCCCCCACCCCCACCCCACTGTCCGCAGGAGCAGCGGGAGCAGCTGCAGGCCTTGCGCCAGGCGGCCTTTGAGCCAGAAGGGGAGTCCTCGGGCACGGGGCTGAGCGCAGACCGCCGCCGGTCCCTATGTGCCCGTGAGTTCCGAAAGCTGGGCTTCTCGGTGAGTGAGCCCCTCCCCACGTGCCCCTACCCCTGCCTCGGCTCAGGGCGGTGGCCCTGCCTGAGCTGCCCATGTCCCTCAGAACAGCAATCCTGCCCAGGACCTAGAGCGCGTGCCCCCCGGTCTGCTGGCCTTGGACAACATGCTCTATTTTTCCAGGCACGCGCCCAGCGCCTACAGCCGGGTCAGTGATGGGCGGGGCAGGGACCCCACGTGGGCGGGACCCCACGTAGGCGGGGCTTAGCTCACCAGGGCACCCCTGTGCCCCCAGTTTGTGTTGGAGAACAGCAGCCGGGAGGACAAGCACGAATGCCCCTTCGCCCGCAGCAGCATCCAGCTGACCGTCCTGCTGTGTGAGCTGCTGCACGTCGGCGAGGCCTGTGAGGAGGGCCTGGGGGTAGCGGTAGCGCGGGGCGGGGCCGGGGGGCGGAAGGGCAGAGAGGGCCAGGGCTGCACACACTCCCCCTGAGCCCCTACTGCCTCCCCGCCCTCCGCCTCAGGCTCCGAGACGGCCCAGGACTTCTCACCCATGTTCTTCGGCCAAGACCAGAGCTTCCACGAGATCTTCTGCGTGGCCATCCAGCTGCTGAATAAGACCTGGAAGGAGATGCGGGCCACCCACGAAGACTTCGATAAGGTGGGTTGCCGCAGGGGCACGCTGGGGAGCTGGGGGTGCCCAGAGCCAGGCGCTGAACGGGGTTCGGGTGGTCTCAGGTCATGCAGGTGGTTCGGGAGCAGCTGGCCCGCACGCTGGCCCTGAAACCCACCTCTCTGGAGTTCTTCCGGTCCAAGGTGAACGCGCTCACCTATGGGGAGGTGCTGCGACTGCGGCAGACAGAGCGCTTGCACCAGGAGGGCACCCTGGCCCCTCCTATACTGTGAGTTTGTGGGGTGTGGTCACCCTGCCCACCCCACTGGGACCTAGGGGACCTGTCCCGTGTCTTGGTCAGCGATCAACGAAGCCTCCGTCCCCACCCCCGACCCTCCAGAGAGCTGCGGGAGAAGCTGAAGCCAGAGCTCCTGGGCCTGATCCGCCAGCAGCGCTTGCTTCGCCTCTGCGAGGGGACGCTCTTCCGCAAGATCAGCAGCCGCAGGCGCCAAGGTCGCTGACCTCACGGGGGTCAGGCGGCACGGTGGACCAGGGCGCCCTCTCCATGCCTGACTCTCCCCTCTCTCCCCGCAGACAAACTGTGGTTCTGCTGCTTGTCCCCCAACCACAAGGTGCTGCAGTACGGGGATGTGGAGGAGGGCTCCAGCCTGCCGCCCCCCGAGAGCCTGCCTGAGCAGCGTGAGTGTGCGGGGAGCAGAAGCCAGGCGTGTATCTGCTCCCAGGCCAGCCTGGACTCCGGGGCTCAGCAAGCTCTCTTCCTGCAGTCCCCGTGGCCGACATCCGGGCGCTGGTGACCGGCAGGGACTGCCCCCACATCCGGGAGAAGGGCTCCGGGAAGCAGAACAAGGTGAGAACAGCGGGAGCTGCAGCGCCTTTCTTCCCACTGCCCAAGGCCCCTGCTCAGCGCTCCTTGTATCCCCACCCCCAGGACCTCTGCGAGTTGGCCTTCTCAGTCAGCTATGACCTCGGGGAGCGGGAAGCGTTCCTCAACTTCATAGCCCCCTCCAAGCGGGAGGTGAGTGTGTGTGGGGCGGGCCAGCTGTGAGGCGTGGGGTGGGGGGGGCGGGGCAGGAAGACAGGCCCTCAGACTGACCCCTCCTGCAGTTCCACCTGTGGACAGATGGGCTGTGTGCCCTACTGGGTATCGCCATGGGCAGTGAGCAGACGCGGCTGGACCTGGAGCTGCTGCTGGCCATGGAGACCAAGCTGCGGCTGCTGGAGCTGGAGAACGTGCCCATCCCCGAGCAGCCACCCCCCGTGCCCCCACCCCCCACCAACTTCAACTTCTGCTACGACTGTAGCATCGCTGAGCCTTGACAGTCCCTCAGAGCACGGCGGTGGGCAGGCACTGACACCCCCCCACCACAGAGGCTGTAGAAGAAATAAAGTCAGCTTTCCCTTTCCCTCTTCACACTGGGCTGGTGAGGCGCCAGGGGCAGGGCCTGGCAGTGAGAGCTGAGGGGCTGGTGGAGTGGGGGTGAGGTGGGCGCTAGGCCTGGCTAAGAGGCACCCAGCATAGAGCAGCCTGTGGCCTCTGGGCCAGCAGAGAAGATGGTGCTTCTGGGGTCTTGAGCTGAGGTGGTGGGGGGAGCCCTTCAGTCTGAGAACAGCCGAGGACAAGGTGAGATAGGGAGTTTTTAATCTTGTTTGGGTTCACAGCAAACACTGACTTATCACTGAAAGGGTGCCTTCAGGGGACAAGGTTAAGGCCAGGCCTCCTGGTCTGAGAAGGGGGCAGGGCCAAGAGGTGCAGGTCTGCCCCTCCCTTCCTAGCACTACGTCCTGCCCACCTTGGGGCTGGGCCCAGGGCCGTTCCGGCCACATGGAGCTGGAGAAGATGCTGTGGGCCCTGCATCGATGGGCCCTACCCCAAGCCCTCCCTAGGAAAGGGGTTTGGAGCTTGGGAAAGGCACTCTGGGGGGTAGCAGAGAAAGGAGGCAGGGGACAGAGTCAGACTCCAGATCAAGAGGTCAGGACTGGGGATGCCGGGGCTAAGGGGCCAGTGGCCTGACCTCAGAGTGTTAGGGACAGGTCAGCCCCTCCTACGAAGCGGGATTGGATGCAGGTCACCTGGGGCAGTTGGGCTTGGAGGCGCCTGATGGCAGCCATGCTGATCCCAGGACACATGGCCACATCCAGCACCCGGAGTCGCTTGCATGCCTGCCCAATGGTGTCCAGGGTCCTGCAGGAAGGCCACTAAGTAGGCACCTGCCCAGTGGGCCTGGCCCGGCCTCCACCCGTCTTCGTCTGCTTGAGTCAGTATGTGGACACTCACTGCTCCGTGAGCTGACTGCAGCTGGACAGGTTGAGGTCCTGCAGCCTTGGCCAGGAGCCGGCTGCCTGGGCCCAGCCCTGGTCACTGAGGAGGTGGCAGTGGCTCACTGCCAAGTGTTCCAGGCTGGGGCAGCCCCTGGCTACCGCCATGAGACCTCTGTCTGAGAACGCTGGCAGCAGGCTCAGCGACAATTTCCTCAGCTGGGGGAACTGGAGTACCTGCAAAGATGGGGTGCCCAGGGGCTACGGCACAGCCCAAGCCAGGGCCGGTTCCCCAATCCCCAGCCAGGCCAGAGGCGGGGGGAGGGGAGGGCAGACCCCTGGCTCTAGTCCTAAGGAGGCTTCAGCTCACACCTTCGTCAGGCTGGCATCAGTCAGCTGGCTGCAGGCTGTGAGGTCCAGCTCATGCAGGGCCTGCAGAAGGAGCAGGGAGGGGCCCTGCGGGCTGGGAGGGCGCTCTTCGGGGTCTGTGGCCTGATGCTCCAACTCGGGGTACAGCTGTGGGGAGAAGCTCCTGCTGAGTCTGGCCCCCGGTGCCCTTAGGGAGGGGCAAGAGGGAAGCTGCACCTCGCCCACTGGGGGCCCGCACCTGCAACATCTGCGCAGGTCCCTCGCTTGGCTGCCCTAGGCCCAGGAGCCCCCAGTCCTGGAGCTCCCTGCACCACGCCAGGCGTAGGACGGAGAGGTGGGGGAGCTTGGTGCAGATGGCCTGCAGGCTCCGGCTGGTGAGGGCCACGCAGGAAGACAAGTCCAGCACCCTGAGGCTGGGAGCTAGCGCTGCCACCAAGGAAAGCACTGTGGCATCCTACAAAGGGAGTGGAGAGGGCCACGGGTGGTGGTGCCTGTACCACCAAGGGCGGCGTCCACAGGAAGGCCAGAGCAGTGGGCAGGGTGGGCCTGGATTGCTGGTGGACAAAGGCCTAGCCCGGGGCCTGCAGGTGGAAGCGGTCCCTGGGGTGTTGCCCTGGTCATGCATCCAGGCCCAGCTGAAGGGGTGGGCTGAGGCAGCCTCTGACAGAGCCGATTGGGCTAAAGTGGGCTGAGCTAATCAGCTCTGCTCCCTGGGAACAGGCTCAAGGTTGGAAAGTGGGGGCGGGGGCAGAGTCCCTGAGAGAAAGAAGCCTGGTGGGAAGAGGTGGGGTGGAAGGGCTTCTGGGGAAGCAGGTGGAGAGCAGGGGTTGGGAGAGGAGAGTGGAGTAACAATGCTGAGCTGAAGGCTGACATGAGACCAGCACCTCAGCCCCCCTGTCCTGCAGGCCTGGCATGTTGCTGGGCCCGGGGGGTGTCTCTGGGGAGGAGCAGAATGAAGCCCAATTTCCCTCCCCACTGCTGGTCCTTGGGCACAACTCCGGAGCTGCTGTTCTGGGTGCCACCGGGCAAGGCCCTCAGGCCCTGGCAGGGGGGGCTGACACGCTCACCTTGAGGGCAGAGCAGTAGGCCAGGCTGAGGGAGGCCAGGGGCAGCGGCGGGGCTTTGCACTCTGAGCCCAGGGCCTGGGCCAGCTCCCACCCGCTCAGCAGGCAGCACTCGGCCAGGTCGAGGTTCCGCAGTTCCCGCAGGCTCCCCAGGGCGGCACAGCTGGCATCAGTCAGGCGCTGCAGTTTCCGCAGGCTCAGGTGCTGCAGGTGCCGCAGGCCCCGGCTGACGGCCAGCAGTGCCCCATCAGCCAGTTCCGAGCAGCCGCTGAGGTCCAGGGAGGTGAGGCCAGGCTGCTGGCGGCACAGGACGGCTATGGCCTCTGTAGACAGGTCCCGGCAGCCACGGAGCAGCAGCTCCCGCAGCTGCAGGCCAGCCACCTGACCCAGGGCCTGCAAGGCCTCGGCGGGCAGGCCAGTGCCACTCAGGTCCAGGGCACGCAGCCGGCCCGCCCGCTCCTTCACGAACCGCAGAAGGTTCCGGAAGGACAGGAGGGAGGGGCTGGAGTCCTGGGGGCCAGGGGAGACTCGGACTGGGCGCCTCTCGAAAGTTAAGTGGCAGTAGGCCAAGGAGAGACACTCCAGGCTGGGGGCACAGCTGCTGAGCCGGTTGAAACTGAGGTCGGCCAGGTCCCGCAGGCTGGCCAGGCTGAGCTCCCGGAGGCCACCCAGCGCCTCCCGGGCACGCTGCGCCACTTCCTGCTGGGCCAGCAGCATGCCCGAGGTGAAAAGGCTGTTGCAGCCGCTCAGGTCGAGGGTCCGCAGGGCCGGGCAGCCCATGATCAGGGTCATGAAGGAGGCCTCCGTGGGGCTGCCCCCGCCCAGACACAAGCTCTGCAGGTGTGGGCCCAGGTGGTAGGCGACAGCCTGCAGCACCTGGTGGGCAGCTGGTGAGCCATCCAGGTTGCTCAGGCTGATGCAGGAGATGCCCTGGACGCCCAGGTTCTCGATGGCCGGGAGGGAGGCTGAGGCCACAGGGATGTTGTATCTCACGTTTGTCTGAAGAGCAACAGAGGCCTGCGTTAGCCCTGCCTCCAGTGGGATGGGCAGGGGGGCCTGGTGAAGAGAAGGGCAGGCCAGGGCCGGGGGCAGGATGGGGATACCTGGTGTGTGATGCTGGGTGGTTGAGTGGGGGATGGAACCTGGAAGCAGCCCAACAACACCCGAGGGTGGGGGGAAGGGTGAGCATTGGGGGTGGGGGGCTTTCAGGAGGCCTATAAGACAACTATCACTTACCACAACCTTGTCATCCAGGTGCCAGCGACTGGGGGCAGGCAGTGAGGCGTGGGTCCCCTGGTGGCCTCAGTGTGTCTGAGCCACATAGATGCTTATGTGAGTTTTGTGTGTACGTGGAAGGCTGTGTAGATGCCTGTGTGTGTATGTGCAAGAGAGAGAAAGAGACTTCATACTAGCAGGGCCTCCTGGCATGGGACCCTGGGTGCATCGGAGTTCACGAGGTCTTTGTGACCCCACGGTGCCGCTCTGCAGGGGACCTCAGTCGGCCCAGATAGGGGAGAGGAAGCATCTCACTTCTGAGGCCCGCACTCCAGGAACAGATCAGAGGGCATGGGGGCAGGTGAGCGAGCACCGGCGAGTGGGTGGAAGCCGGCAGGCCAGCTCAGGGCTGAGTCGCTGTGGGAATAACCAGCTTGTGTAGGAGTTTGGGGAGCCCTCAGCTGAGGGAGGTTCTCACAGACTCTTCGCTGATCTTGTGCCAAAGGGAGCCAGAAGCAAGTTGGTACAACTTGTGGGGGGTAGGGAGAGGGGGAGCGCGGACCTTCTCCGGCCCCCAGCCCGTCCTCCTCCAGCCGACAATCGGGCTGGGGGCCGGGCAAGTGGTCCTCAGCCATGGCTCTCCTGTGTCGAAAATGACCCATGGACAGAGGCAAGCACCCTGACGGCAGCAAACCACCTGATGGTCCCTGTGTGGCTTCCACAGAAAGTCATCAGTAGGGTTCAGGGAGGTGGCAATGTCATCTGTGATCTGTGCTCCGCAGGTTCTCAGGGGGAGTAACTGGCAGCCCACGGAGCATGGCCTCATGGGAAGGAAGGTGTAGTAAGAGGTGGACTCCATTCCAGGAAGAGGGCATTGTGGGTGAGGGTGCTCCCCTAGTGGGTAGGGAGGGTGCCCAAGGGCCCGGGTCCTTCTCTCAGGCTTAAGGAGAGGTGGGAGACAGAAAAGGTTTGTGAGAAGAAGGTAAACTGGGCCTCCAGCCTGCCTGAAGGATTCAACTTGGTGAACAGAGCACACTGTGAGGGGGTGGGGGTGGGGGGGCTGGTTGCCAGGTAGCCGGCCTGGTCTAGCCACCCCCACCAGTCACGTGCCACAGCAGAGCCCCCGCACAGAGGCCTGGACACACCCCCAGACACCAGCTCCAGCAGCAGGTGCTGGCTTGTCTGCCTCCCACCTGCTGAGCTTCGGTGCTCCCTCTCCCTGCCTCCCCATGGAGAGGAGGGCACCAGGGCCACTCTCTGCCGGTCCCATGTTTAGGGCCAGAGAGTGGGAGCAGAGTGGCAGGGCCTTCCAGCATTTGGGGGGGGGGGGAGTGTGTGTTGTGGTTGAAGCCTGCCTTCTCTTGCCCCCTTTTGTTCTTAGCTTGGTGGGAAGTGGGTGGCCTCTGAGGCATACTGGGGGGCGGGGGTGCCCTGACCCTGAGCCATCAGGGCTCAGACCGTAGATGTGATAGGGACCATGAAGGAGGGGTCAGAGCAGACAGCAGGGCGCTTGGGTTATGATCTCTGGTCCTTCCTGGTCCCCAGAGGATGGTGAGGGCACCTGCTCCAGCCTCAGCCACCCTGTCCTCAGAGCCCCAGGGCCCCGAGTTCCTCCTTCCCCAAGGCTGACATCTCAGAGGGTATGCAAGCCATTTGGGAAGAGACCCCCCCCCCCACCTGCTAAAAGGGACACATACCCCTTGGCTGCGTGAGCCAGGGTTTGTGGTACCCAGTGCAGGCAGGCCTGTGAGCCTGTGAGGACAGCCATTTTGCAGAGAACATGGCCCGTCTGCGCAGGTGTGTGTGGTCAAGTCCACCCTGGCTCATAATGACCTCACGTGACAGTCAACTGCCCCTCGGGGTTCCTGGGATGTCGCCTTCATGGGGGCGGACCCCAACCACCAACCTTCACATCAGCTGCTGAGTGCTTAGCCGTCTCTCTGCCAGGGCGCCCTGTCTGTCCACTGAGGAAGCCACAGCTAGCGCGCCTGCTCCCCTCTGGGCCTTCACAGACACCCCAAGGGGGAGACCGTGGGGCAGAGCTGGGTTTGCCTGAGTTCTTGTTTCACAGAGACCTAACCCCAACTAGTGGCCCCCACTCCCCACCAATTTCCCAGCCCTAGAGTCTGAGCGAGAGAGAAGGGCCGTGTGTGAGTGTTTGCCTCCTTCTCTGCGGGAACTCTAAGTGAAGAGCGGGACGGGCCATGGGCGCAAGCAGTCACCATCCCCAGTGCAAACCTGCCCCGCCCCCACTGGCTCTGGATGCGGCGCCAGAAGCCCTTTATCCCGCTATTTTACAAGCACTCTTGGGGGGCAGCTTCCCCTAAGACCTCCCCAGAGCCCAGTACAGAGCCAGGGGGCTCGGTGAGGGGCCTGTCTTCAGGGCTATTCAACCTCTCCATGTGCCTCTGGTCACTCCCCATCCTCTACCTGCCCAGGAAGAAATCCCATCTCCAGAGGCCCCGGCTGCAGCTTCTCACTCCCATAGGCCACCAGCCGGAAGGTCCTCAGCAAACATCCCCCCCATTTCTGGGCAGCCACCTGCTTCCTCTGTCTAGGATCGAGCCTTGCAGGCTAGCCCCGTCGTCTCTGCCACCAGCCTGGGACCACCCTTCACCGTCCTTCCCGCCTTCTCGCCCCCGGCACACACCCTGGCTCCAGTGAGTCCCGCCCAACGGGGTGTCAGCACCTTGGGCTTTGCTCCTAGCTGAAACCTCCTTGTCCTCTCTGACTGGACCACGCCTGAGGGCCAGAGTGGTTGGATGCACAACTCACGTGTCACGGACTGTTCTCGAAAACATCTGCCTTAGTGGATGGTCTGCTGTGTATATGCTCAACGCCAAGTCATTCAAACCAACTAACTCTCCCTTAGGACGTCCTACTTAGCGCCTTCCTCTCACAGGAAGCCTCTTCCCCAAGGGTGAGGTCACTACGTTTCTGTCCCGTCCTCATTCACTCCTCAGCCCGCCTGGCTTTGTGCCCACAAGATGCCAGCTTCAGCCTCTGGCCACTGTGTCCTGGAAGTTGACATCACTTGACCTTCTGAGGTTTACAGGGGTGGGAACCTGTTTTCTGCTCAGGCCCTATGGCTAGTGTAACATCACTCAAGGGGCGTGCTGATCAAACACTTAGTCATTAACCCCCCCTGACGTGGTGGCTGGAACTGCTTCCTGTGGTGAGACGTGTAGTGTTAGCTGGTATCAAAGATTTCACAGGACCCATATGGCCAAGGGCCCTCTGACTTGACCCTTGCTGTTGATGCTCTCCCACTTGACCTCTCTGCCCTCCTCTATTGGAGTGTCCTCTGCCTCTCCTTGACCTCAGACCAGGGCCCTCACCCACGGCTTCTCTCTGGCCAGCTGTACCTGCGTCTCCTGCCTGGCTGTTTCCACTTGAGAGAAATGATTCAAATTCCTGGTTTCAACTCCTGCCCATTCTTTAAGGATACCTATAATCTGTGTGTATTATGACACAGACCTTTCTCTGGAATTCCTGACCCCCAAATCCAGCCACCGACTGGGCCTCGCCATCAGCTTCCTCTAGAGAGGGAAAGCAAAGGCCCTGGCTGCGTAACCATCCTAACGCATACTCACAGCCACCCGGTGGGCCATGCCACTCAGAGCGACAAGAGTAGGCCCTACTCACATAAACACATCTAGCATGGGACAAAGGAGGGGTTCTAGCCGGCAAGGGGAAGGTGCTATTTGAAAAAATCATCAGCTTGGCTCTCCTAACCTCACCATGTAGGCCCAGATGCAAGCTAAAGATGAAAACTTAGATCACGGAACAGAAGGAAACGCTGAGTGGATGCCTATTGCACCTGTGGAACAAAGCTCGGATGCTGCTTTTCAAAAATCAATGGAGGAAAGGGGGGAGGAGGGGGAGAGGTTCCCGATCAATACTGTACAAGGTAGGTTCTGACTCTCACACAACAAACCTTATCAATCAAGCACAAAGACGAAAGTGCTAGGAATATAGCTCAGTACGTGGGCCAAGGATTCATATCTTTAATGTACAAAAAGTGCATACAAATTGTCCAGAAAAATACTAGGACCCTCCCCGCAAGAATGGGTAAAGAACATGGCACAAACAGACAGCAGCTAAGGAGAATCACTGTTCAACTTCAGCCACCATCTGAGCGTGGCAAGGACCCATCTTGGCTCCTTCCCAGCTGCCAGAGGCGCCTGCTTCCCTTTGGAGCCGGCCCACCCTGCCCTGCAGGGCGCCAACGCCCCACCACTCTGCAGCTCTCCCGGCTGTCAAGACTCCACAGTGGCCATGGGGAGAAAGCTCAAGCCCCGCCAGCTGGCACCCCTGCCCATCTGCAGCCTAAGCCCCTCTCAGCTCTTCCACCATGTTCCCCTCACACATCCTATCCTTGTGTGGTCATTTCCGGAATGATTGTGCACCTTGGTGCCTTCCACCTCTGCTGTTATCAGTCCTGGAAGACCAAGCTTCACCCTCTCTCCGTGGAAGCCTCCCTGACCCTGTCGGCCCCCTACGGACCTTTCCATCCCAGTGTCGCTGCCCTGTGCAATGGCAGTGTGTGGTCACTCATGTGCGTCTTCTGCTTCGGGGTACTCTGAGGTCCTAGGTCTTACCATCCGTCCGTCCTAGCATTGACTGGGCTAAGTGTTGGTCGAACGAATGTATGAATGCCTGGGTGGAAGATGTACATGCCAGAGCGTGAGCAAGCTGATGTGGGAAAGAACTGAGAAGAGTCCAGGTGAGCGTGGTGGGCACCTTACCTCCCGGAGGGCATTCTGGGCTGCACGGTACCAAGCCCGACTCACGAGCAAGGCCTCTTTCTGATCAGACAGAGGCAGGAAGCTCAGAACGTAAGTGAGAATCTGAGAGGGAAAGAGACAGGGCATCAGGGCGTCAGCACTGGGAGGCTTGGGAAGTAGCCACGCCGAGGGAACGGGCCACTGGCTGCCAGTTCACCGTGGGGCCCAAGTTCAGCAGAACACATGCTTTTCTCCAGCGTGCCTACCCACCCCACCCCCAATCCCATCCCTTTACCATGCAGGAGCCCTTCCTGAGCCTGGACTGGGTCAGGCCTCCCCAGCTGAGAACAATCACACTTCCTGCCCAGCTGGGTGGAAAGAGCCTGGGTGAGGAGGCCAGATAAACCTACTATTGTAATCCTGACTGTCAACAGACAGCAGCTGGGCCTCTTTATGCCCTTCGGGCCTTGACTCCAGTCATCGGGTTCCTTATCTGTCAAGTAGCCATGGTGGTGAGATTTAAATGGTTGTTAGGCGAATTAAAAAAAACCAACAGATTAACGTGTGTGTGTGTGTGTGTGTGTGTGTGTCCTACATAGTATCTACTAGAATATGACAGACACCCAGTGAGTACTTATTAGCTCCTCCAAGCCTGTCTCCTGTCGCATTTTAGGGGAGGGGGTCTAGCATAGTTCTCACCTGAGAAGGCAAGATCACCTGAATTCTTCCCACGGCACAGCCACTGTTTTCCTCCGGTGATTCGCAGGAAGCCCCAGCTTCCTGGCCTCACAGGTCAGGCTCTGGGACACCGCTCTTCCCTCATCTTCTCTACGACTCGGGCCTTCTTAGTGGGCGCTTAGGATGTAATCCCAGCAAGAGCCCGCCTGGGCGCTACAGGCCCAGCCTCTACCCACACCTTGTGAAGCTCCAGGTGGTGGGGTTGGGAAGGGCATTGCCTATGCGGTCAGGAACAATTTGATACTGATGATTCTTTTCTTCTGGAATGATCCTTGACTCCTGTGTCTTCTAGAGCTCTACCTAGCACTCTAACTGCCCTATTGCTGGATTCGTCACAGGCTCAGACCCGGGTCTTATGCTCACAAAGTAAATTGACATGTATGGATGGCGTCAAGCACTTCTGTAGACATGACCCCGTCCGACCCTTTCCAGCCAGTACAGCACACCACTGTTTACCGGCCCCTTCGCTGTCACCTTCATCTCAGCAGATCCAGATCCGAATGAACTAATTTGTGCCTCCGTCCAGTCCACACATGGTCCCTTTTGCAACTTCTTCCCCTTCAGTGCCTGCCCTACTCCCCACCTGAAGAGTCGCCAGACAGCAGCTGGGCCTCTTTATGCCCTTCCGGCCTTGACTCCAGTCACAGGCCTAAGGCACAGGCTTTAGGTCAGGCTAATTAAAAACAAAAACATAAACAACATTCACCACCATGGAGTCAACTCTGACTTACAGCGGCGACCCTCTGACGACAGGGTAGAACTGCCCCGTGGGTTTCCAAGACTGCAAGTCTTTACGGGAGTAGACAGCCGCCTCTTTCTTCCGAGGAGTACCTGGTGGTTCAGACTGCTAACCTTGTTATCAGCAGCCCAATCAACCCACTCCACCGGGGCTCCTCCGGGCTAACTTAGATTCCTCCAAATCCCAGCTTCATTGTTTCCTAGCTATGTAACCTTATGCAAGGTAATTGGCAGCCAAGGGTCTCGGTTTTCACACCTGGAGCACATGGACCCTAACAACCCAGAGCAAGGTCTTATGGGGCTTAAAGTAGGTAACAGACAACAAAGTCCATGACACCTAATAGATGTTCTAGAAATGGTCTCTACTGCTTAGCTAGCTCAGTCCAGGTCCTCGCCCCACAGTCTCCCACCTGAATTCCTGTCTGCACACTGCCACAAGATGATTTTCATAAAGCATGCTAAGTCTGGCCTACCACTAATGAAAACTGTCGGGGTTCCCCAGTAGTTCCAGGACAAAAGCTCCACTCCTGATCAGCACTGCCGGACCCCACACTCAACTGGGCCCCCTGACCCCAAGCCATGTCCTCCAAATACCGCATGCCTATTGCCTTTTGCTCATGTGGGCCTCTTTTCTGGAATGTCCTTCCTTCAGCCTGGCCCCAGCAGGCCTTTCTAATTTCTCCATCTCTTCTCTGCCAAGGTCCACACAGGAGGTATTCAGACAATCCTTACTGGGTTGAATTAAAGATGGACGAGGACCCAGAAAATTGAAGTGGCTCTAATGCACCAGAGGGTTTTCCAGGGAAGGGTGGGGCGATCAGATCAAGCCAACAGTGCCTTACCGAGAGGAGATGGCTAAGAGGGCAAGCACCCCGGGGCCTGGCCTAGGCAAGGGAAGGAGTGCACTGATGGGGCCTGGGACTCTCAGCATAGTGACCCTAGACAGCAAAGTAGACCCTCCCCATAGGGTTTCCATGGCTGTAAATCTTTAGGGAAGCAGATTGCCACACCTTTCTCCGGAGGAGTGCCTGGTGGGTGCAAGCTGCTGATCTTCTGGCTAGCAGTCTAGTGCTTAATGACGATGCCCTTATGAGTCAGCATCGACGGCACCACAGTGAGTTGGGTTGGGTTGGGTCCAAGTCTCCATCCTCAGGGGAGGCAGGGAACCTGTCGAGCTAAGAAAGTGGCGATCTTCTTGGCTGAGCAGCCAACATAAGGAGCAAAAGAGAGCAAGCCTGATCTCACTGAGGAGGAGACGCTACTTTGAGCCGAGACAGGGGGTGGGGTCAGGGTGAGGTGGGTGGACTTTCTAAAAGGGGCGCAGTAAGGACCCAGTGGCTGTCCATGAGAACCTATCCCAATGGGTTACAGAAGATCTGACTGGTCTTCCCTGGACCTGTGGGAATAGTGGATGTTCTCTGAGACCCGAGAAAAGAAGGGATTCCATCCCACGGGATGCAACAGAGTGAGAGCAGGCCTATTTCTCCCTCCAGAAGAGGACACTAATCCAAGACTGACAGGAGAGGGTGATCTGGGCCCCCTGGGAATTGGGAGAGGGCAACTCTTATGGCAAAATGGATGGCGAGGCCATTCCACGAGGCCACAGTGGACGGAATCTGTTATCTCTCTGGGCAATCGGAGAGGTGCAGGTTTGGCCCAGGGGAGACATTCCACAGATCTGCAGGATTACGGAACAGGCCTGTACCCCACTGAAGGCACACGGCGACCATCCGGGAGTTCATAGGATGGTGGGTCCGGCCATCTCTGCGGGTGGAGGGAGTGGAGTAACCTTTCCGTGGAATCAACGGGGATAAGAGAAGGGAGATGGTGCGGGCATCTTCTGCAAGTGAGGAAGGGAGAGAGGCCATCTCGAAGGAAGAAGGGCAGCAGAGGGCCTGACCTCGCTGACTAGCCACCTCCAGGGGCTGTTGAGGAAGGAGTCAGGTCTCCCAACCTAAGGGGACGAGCGCCCCACGACGAAGCCATTACCCAGAGTTGGCAGGTCCCGGGATTAGCCGGGCGCGCAGTTTCCGCCGGGCGGACGGGGCCCGGCGAGCTGCCCGACGGCCCCTCCCCACAGCCCTGGACCCCGAGGGCGGGGCCTGACTCGAGCTAGGCCGGACGGCGGCCTCCTCTCACCTCCAGAGGCAGCGACTCCGCCATCGCATCCCCGCCGTCTGCCCCCCTGCGCAAGGCCTTCTGGGAAACGTAGTCCAACGGCCGAAAAGGCGGGACTTAGAACGCAGACTTCCGTCTCATCTGATGACGCCTTTGATGCGCACCGGAAGCGTCCGGGCGCCGATGTGGTGCTTACTGACTGCGGTTTTGATCGCTCTCCCTTGTTCCCTCGGCTGGGTGTTGGCGTCGCACCATGGCGGTGAGGAGGGCGGATAGGTTGGGGTGCGCACCCACAAAGTCCCCCGGATCCAGGAGACTGAAAACAGGGGAAAGGCATCGAGGGGTGCAGGGTTGGTCGGAGGGGGGCGCTATCTTCAGTCAGTACTGCACTAGAGGAAGCTGGAGGCGGTGTCCACCGTGGGAGGACCGTTTTAGATGGGTGCGACAGCGGGGCGCCGTCAGCCCTTGAGCAGGCTAGAGACCTGAGCAACCTGAGGAGTGTGGGCCTCAGCCCAGACCTGGATTATCCCAGCAGAGGGGTCCCCATTCCCCTTACTCAGGAAACGCCCCCTGGAGGCCTCATTAGCCCAGAGCGGGACTTAGCAGGGGTCGCGGAGGAAGCATTCCAGAGGGATCGGATGGGTCCAGAACAAGGAGGAGGCCATCGCAGCTGCGTTGCTTTCCAGTCCCTCAGCAGGGTGGACTGGAGGTGGCGGGGAGGGGTGGACATCGTCGGGGGTGTAGGTTTGGGCACCATGGGGGCTGGCTGAGGTGTGGCTAGAAGTCTAACTAGACAGGAAATGGAAAAGGCCCTGGCCCAAGAGGGCTCTGACAGCATCTCACACTCCTGCAGCCCAAGGGCAAAGTGGGCACAAGAGGGAAGAAACAGATCTTTGAAGAAAACAAAGAGACTCTGAAGTTCTACCTGCGGATTATCTTAGGAGCCAATGTAAGTACCTGCCATGTTCCATGGCCACCCAGAACCCCACAGTCTTTAGCCCTGCTGAGGGGGGAGTGGTGGTGTGTGACAGCCAGGCCTCCAAAAGAAAGCCCTAGTTAAAAAGAGATGCAGGTCTGAGACCTAGGCTAAATTTGAGAGCCCTTCTTGACTCAGATCCACAAAGGCTTCTTTCCTGGGCTACTTGGGTGTCAGCAGGAAGTCTGGGTAGCAGGTCCCTTCTTCTGCCAACCCTTTAAGAACAGCCTAGATTGTCTTGCAGCCTGGCTCAGTATTGGGGGTGTGTGGTTGTGGTGGTGGTGGTGGTGTGTGTGTGTTGGGGAGGCCAGTCATTTGGAACTGCCATTTGTTCTCTTCCTGATTCTTCTGTGTTTGTTTTCAGGCTATTTACTGTCTGGTAACCTTGGTCTTCTTTTACTCATCTGCTTCATTTTGGGCCTGGGTAAGTGTTTCTTCTCCTAGGAGGTGGAGGGGTACATAGGGTCCACGGTTAGCCTTTGACATCCCTATCCTTGCCCTGCAGATGGTCCTGGGCTTTAGTCTGGCAGTCTATGGGGCCAGCTACCACTCCATGAGCTCAATGGCACGGGCAGCCTTCTCTGAGGATGGGGCCCTTGTGGATGGTGGCATGGACCTCAACATGGAGCAGGGCATGGCAGAGTGAGTGTCCCCCGCCGCCGGCCCAGGTGAGCGGCCCCAGGGCTGGGGCTCTGGGGCCCAGATAGCCCAAGACCCACAATGGCCTGCGGCTCAGAGGGTAGAAGGGAGTGGAGCAGGACCCATCTATTCTCTCAGGCCCTTGCAGTGTCCTTTCTCTCCACAGGCATCTGAAGGATGTGATCCTACTGACCGCCATCGTGCAGGTGCTCAGCTGCTTTTCCCTCTACATCTGGTCCTTCTGGCTTCTGGTGCGTGGGCTGGAGGGGTGGGGGTAGAGGGCTGTTCCCCAAGGAGAGAGAGCACCAAACCCCTCCCCTCTTCTATGCCGAGAGCCTGGCTTCAAGTCGCTTCTCTCTTGCAGGCTCCAGGCCGAGCCCTTTACCTCCTGTGGGTGAACGTGCTAGGCCCCTGGTTCACAGCAGACAGTGGCACCCCGGCCCCAGAGCACAACGAGAAACGGCAGCGCCGACAGGAGCGGCGGCAGATGAAGCGGCTATAGCCATTGGCCTTGTGGCAAGAGGCTGCTGGACCTTGGGCAGCTCGATCAGGCAGCATGGCCTCATGCCAAGAGCAGTGAGGGCCGTGCCCAGAGGCCAGGCGTCCTCAGAGGCACAGGATTGTTGAATAAATGGCTTCAAGGTGACTAACGGCTGTGCGGGTGATGACGAGGACAGAGCAGGAAAAGCCAGTCTTTTGTGATTTCCCTCCTTCTACAGACCTGGCCTAGTGGGAACCCTGAAAGGAGAAAAAGGCTCTTAAGTTGGTTAAGAAAACTTTATTGGGCTCCAGAGTTCAGGGAGCTGAGATTCACATGGACACACACGAAGACTAATACTGCTCAAGGCTCAGGGGGGGCCCTGGGCACGGAGTGGCACCGGCATTTGGTTTGGGAAGAGGCCTATGGGCCTTCTTCTTGTAACAGTCTCTTCTCCAGCAAGTCTAGGCGCAGGTCGGTTTGCTGGAAGTTGCACCATCACACCTCCAGGCCAGGGCCCTTGCTCAGTCCGAGTGCCTGCACTAGCTCATCTCCAAGACCACTTTTCAACGTCCGTCTCACTGCGGACAGAGCAGGGTTGGAAAGAGGACAATAGTTGGGGGGTGGTGGTGGTGGTGGTGTGTGTGTGTGTGTGTGTGTATGTGTATGTGTTGGGGACTGGGGGGACCAGACACTTACAAGACTTGCGGTTGCCACGCGACCTCTTGCGTTCCCGAGCCGCTAGGGCCCGAGGGCTGCTCCTGGTCACTGACTGCACCAGCATGTCCATGATCTCATCGGAAGTGTCGCCAGGGGAACTGGAGCCTGGGGATTCTTCTGGCGGTGTCTCAGAGGGCCCCTGGGGTGTGGGCATCACAGGGGAGCTGCTCGACACCATTCCTAAGGAGACCGGAAGTGGAGGGGGGCAGTCAGGCCTGGGGGAGCCTAAAGTCTGCTCCCCCGCAGCAGCCGTGGGCCCCACCTCTACTGCGGCGGTTGTGTGTGGCATCCTCAGGCCTACTAGTCAGCAGACTTTTCATGCTGGCATGGCTGTCGGCATCGCCCCGGCCTGGCCCGCTGCCCACAGCCACAGGGACAGCTGGGGTGCTGGGAGTCTCCCCAGCCACTCCTGAGAACTTCTCTGTCTGGAGGAGGTGGGAAAGGTAGGCTGGCAGTAGGTCAAGGGAAACCATGAGGCAGGGGGTGGGGGGAGAGTAGGGGCGCCCACCTCGGTGATCATGCGTCCCCGAGTCTTGTTGCGCTCACGGTAGGTGGCCCGCTTCTTCTGCTGCTGCAGCACCCGCTCCCTGCAGGTCCGGTACTCGAGGGCAAACTCTCGCAGGGTGTGGCAGAACTGCGTGACCCGCACCTCTCGGGCTGCCTGGGCCGTGTAGCCCAAGTAGAGCAGGAAGGCATGGAACCTGGGGAAGGGAGAGTCCCTCTTGGTGCCTGGGGCTCGGAGGAGGCAGAGCTGCTCTTTGCCGGCATGGGCCCTACCGATTGCAGATCCGGCGGTGTACCACCCTCAGCATGGCCACCCGGCGGGCACACTGGGCCAGGAAGTGGGTGAGGCGGGCACGCAGGGCCGGGGCCAGCTCATGTTTGGCCAGGCCTCGCAGACTCTCCTCGGCTGCCCTGCTCCTGCATTCCAGCTGTTCCAGGTTCTCAGCCAGCTGCTCAAAGTCCACCTGGAAAAGCCGGGGTGTTCCCACATTGTGCCCTTCCCCCACCTCAGACACTGCCTGAGGAGGCCTCTGCCCCAGGCTGGCAAGTCTCTGAGGCTGCAGACAACCCCCACCCCCCAGACTTGGTCCTGGACCCCCAGAAACTCAGTCTGATGCAAGCCACAGATAAGTCTGTGTGACTCCTTGGGGTGACAGAGAAGGCTTCCTGGAAGAAATGGCCACGAAACAGACTGAGCTGGCCTGCTGGGAAGGTTTCTGGCAGAGGGCCTGCCCGCAAGGACACCTGTAGTTCAGGACACAGGCCCGGGTGGCCCAAACAAGGGAATAAGAAGGAGCCCCAGGATGGCCAGTGGCAAGAAGCCAGCCCCTGACTGGTGCGAACCTTGGCACAGCGGGTCAGGGCAGGGATTTCCGAGTAGAGGTCGGAGGAGTCTGGTCGGGTCTGGAGCACCAAGGAGCAGAGATGGTGCAGCAGGGACTGCCGCCGCACCGTATCCTTCACCTCGGACACCTTCTCCAGGTAGCTCAGCTCAAAACCGCTGCTCTGAAAGGACTCCGCCTGAGTCTGGGCCTGGCCGGCTCAGAGCCCCCGTTCCTGGCCCTCTGGGGCACTCACTCACCTGGGAGCTGTTGAGGAAGTTGCCCACCGCCAGCAGGGTGGCCAGCAGACAGCGGAAGGTGGCGTTCTTCACCAGCTGCTCCATGCCCACTTTCAGGTCAAACAGAGGCTCTGCGATTTCCTGGTGTGGGGAGACCAGGAGCCCTCAGCATGGCAACCGTGCTCGCCCTCCTCCCCCTGCCCATTGCATCCCCCTGAGCCAGGTACCCGCTCCATGCTGTCGTAGTCCAGCTTGAAGGCCCAGAGTTGTAGGCGGGCAGCCAGGCCCCCGATGGACGCGAGGGTCAGCAGGAAGCTCTCTGCGGGACCCAGGGGGACGTCGGGGTTGGTCAGCTGGGCCTCCTCGATCTTCTGTCGCTCGTCATCCGTAGGCATCATGGTCAGCAGCTTCTGAGAACATAACCACCGCCCCCCTCAGAGACTTCAGTGCTGGCAGGCCTCAGGCCTTGGTTCTAGCCCTGCCCCGGGCTGGAGCCCCAGGGTCTGGGGACTGCCCTGCAGAAATGCCCAAGCCCACCCCTAGAGGGCAGGGGACTCCCATCACCCAAGGAGAGGGCCAGACCACTGCTCACACTCCTTGTCCCCTCTCCACACCTCAATGCCATCCTTGCTGACGGCAAACTCATCAAAGTTCAGTAGGGCAGCTTTGATGACGTGAACGGCGGGCAGTGTCGTCAGGCCGATGTTGATGGCGTTGCTCCGCTTGGGGTCCAGCACGGTGGTCATTGTCCGGCGGCCCTCACCGGCTTTCTGCAGGTTGGGAGCAGGCTGAGACTGGACTGGAAGGGGCCTAGTGTGGACACTAACCTAGAAGGCACCCCAGGGCCCTCTCCTCCGAGGTCCAGTGGTGGGATTGCCTCATGCTGTACAGAGCTTCGATCCCAGTTAGGAGCCTGGAATAAGTTCCTCCTACTCCTTCCCTTGTCTCAGCTTCCCCATCTGGGACCACCTGAGCTCTGACCCCTCCCACTCTGCTGGGCCCTCTCACAGCTGAGGGTGGGCTTACCTTGGAGGGCAGCACGTCCTTGGCACGGGATTCAAAGAGGTGCCCCAGCCTCGCTGTGTCCACTGAGACAGGCTCCAGCGAGGCCCACAGAGTCGGGCAGGGCCCAAATCTGCCCCCGGCGCCCCCCGGGCCCCCTGCCAGCTTTAGCTCCCGCCAGAAGAGTTTGACTGTCTTCCTCTTGGTGGGGATTGCTGGGCCATCAGGGGCTGAGTGGGTAGGAGGGGCAGCCAGGGGAGGGGGTGGCGGCAAGGGGCCTTTAGTTGGTGGGGGAGGTGGGGCTGGTGGGGGGGGCGGTACTGCCGAGAGCAGGGAAGGGAGGGGTGGTGGAGGTGGGGGTGCCCCCATGGGCAGGGGGGGTGGGGGTGGGACCCCACTCCCGGCCTCCGTGACCTCCATGTCCAGCACGTCCTGATCCTCATCCTCCCCTAGGTCTGAAAAGTCCAAGTCCCCGATGCAAAGCTTGGGTGCACGGGGAGGGGAAACCTGGGTGGGCGTCATCTCAATCTTAGGGCTGGGTGGGGCCCGTGGCTCCTTGGACTCCGGCTCAAAGCTCTGCTGGGCCCGGAGAAGGACTCGGGGTGCAGGGCTCAGGGGCGGTCTGGGGGCTGGCTCTGGGGAGCTCCATAGTTCTCGGGTGTCTAGATAGAGGGGCGCAGCTGTCAGCATGGTGCTCCCTGAGGGGCAGCGGGGCGATGCAATGGTCCTGCCCACCCACTCACCTGCATGTCCGTCAGCTTCGTCGGGCATGGCCTCTGCCAGTGTCTCTGCCCGGCCCAGGGCCAGCGCAACCTGCTTCTCTGTTTCTGCTGCAGCCACGTTCTCCAGGAAACGTGCTCTGGAGGGGCAGACTTGTCACTGGGGGTGTCCTGCACAACCCCAGCCCAGGGGATGCACATGTCATGCTAAGTCCTGGGCGCTGTCCCCAAATGCAGGCACACACAAACACACGGAGAACAGTCCATGCGCTGAGCAGACCCAGGACCCGTCCCCCAAAGCCCACCATTGCTCAGTTCTCCGCATCTGGTGAGGGTCTCCATCAACCAGCATTCCCAGGCCAGCCTCGGGGCAGCAGCTCTACTACACAGCTAACCTGCAGCCTTGCTGCAAGCTGTTCATGTTCACTTGTCCCAATTCTAGACAAGTACCCTTAGGCAAGGGACGGGGTAGCTGTCCCCCCTGAGCACACCGGGCTGGAGGTTTCTAAGAGCTAAGGCCTGTCATGGGACACGCACTCAGTTTTTGCTGCATGATTGAGAACTGTAGCCCAGTGTCTTTGTGTCTGGCCCCTCCAGCTTCTCATAGGAGCCCTGGTGGTACACTGGGGGGCTTCTCACCCTCACTCAGGTCTCTACTTTCCTGCCTTTCACCCCAATCTCCTCCGGGGCCCCTATATCACAGCGCCTGAGAGTCCCCACCCCCAGCCCTAGTCTTGAGCTGAGGGAGCCGGAGAGGGGCCTCCGCCCTGGAGTCCACCTCCCTGTGGTAGACTAAGCTGGTGGGGACCCAGTCATGTTCACGGGGCCACTAGGCCTATGCGACCCCTGTCGGGCAAGCACAGCGGAAGCTGGAGCACGTGGCGGGGCGGCTGGCCTGGGTACTTGGTACTTACTCCAGCCTGGCCTGCCCAGGAGGGGGCTGAGGGGCAGGTGGGCTCTCGGGGGCCCTGGGGGGAGGGAGTGAGAGGAAAAGACGCTGGCTGGGGTACCTGCTCTGCCCTGAAGCCCACTTGCTGGCACCCACAGAGAGATGGGCAGTAACGTCAGAGAGACCTTCCCAGCCACAGTGGGAAGAGGAGGTGGTGGTAGTTGGGGGGGTGGGAGGTGGTGACAGGAAGCAGGAGAAGGGTAGAAAGACTGGGTGGGAGAGACAGTGCCGGTGAAAGAGAGGACGGGGAGATGGATGACAAGACGCAAAGACAGCATGCCCAAAGGAAGAGAGGAGGAGAAGAAGCCGCAGGAGGAGAAGGTCGTCCGGACGAGCCGAACCCCACCAGCAGTCACTTACCAAACAGGAGCAGTTTGAAGTCTGGAAATAGAGAGAGAGCCTGAGTTTGAGCAGTAGAGGCTGAGGGCGCCTGGGAGGGCGCATAGCAGGGCGCAAAGCGGATGGACAGTTGGAGAGAGGGCTCTTGAGGGCGGCTGCCACCTTCCTACTTACTTGTAGACGCTCCGCTCGCTGGAGCTGTCTGCCGAGGACGCCGCGGAGATGCTGGAGAAGAGGCACAGGGAGCTAGGGCCCACTGGAGAGGCGGGGCCTGAGGGGCTGGAGGCGGGGCCTGTGGGGCTGGAGGCGGGGCCGGTCAGAAGGACAGGCCCCACCAGCTCCGCCCACACCTTCCCCGCAGCAGCGTTGGCAGTTCTTACACAGGCTCTGGGGCCCGCGGGGCGGGGGCACCCCCGCCTTCCAACGATCGGCGGCTCCTTTTGCCCTCCTCGGAGGACGGCTTTCGGCGCTCCCGTCTCCCACCCGCGACGCCTTCCTCGATGTCTCCATCTTCCAAGCGCAAGGCGCTCTAGGGGCAGCAGCAGGTCAGGTTGGGGCCCGGGGTGGGCTCTGTTCTGTCCACCCCTCGCCGGCCGTTGGCCTACCTCGTAGAGCACCAGCTGCGTGCGCAGGTCGACGTCGGTGCCCGCGGTGCTCAGATGGCGCTGGGCCAGCGCCTCCATGCCCTGCTGTTCCAACGCGTCCGTCACGTCGTAGAAGGAGTCCTGGTCCGGGAGCGCCGCCAGCGTCTGGGGGTGAGGATGGGAGGGCGTGGCTGCGGCCGGTGGGGCCCACGAGCCAGGGGCCCCGGGTGCCTGCCTGGTGCTTCGCCCGCACCTTGTTGATGAGGGTGACGGCGTACACCAGCAGCTCTGCGTCAGCGCCGTTCTCCTCCAGGATGGCTACCAGGTTGGCCCACGGAAGCGCACCTGCCTCACAGAGAGAGGGGCGGTCAGGGGACCTTGAGGGAGGGTGATGGGTGGGAGGGAGGGCTGGCGGGGTGGGCAGGCTCTGACCCGTAGCGTTGGCCACGGAGTTGACAGCGCGGATGAAGAGGGGCGCATTGCTCTCCGAGTACTCCACAAACACCAGCAGCAGTTTCAGGGCGGTCTTCACCACCAGGCGGGACTAGGGGGCAAGTCACCCAGGCTGAGTGGGCATGGCCAGCTCCGGGTGGGTGGGGAAGAAAGGCTGGAGGCAGGCTTGGAGGAGCTGAGGCCAGAGAGCCGCCTTGGGGAAAAGGGGCAGGGCACTTACCTGGCTGGCACACAGTGTGTACAGCCACTGGACGGTCTCACTGTGGGCCACCACCCCCAGCATCCCATCCACAAACAGCATAAGCTGGCCCAATGCTGGGGACACAGGGAGGGGCAGAAGTCAGTAGGGTGGGGGTAGGGTCCTTCTGGGAGGGCCAGGTGCGAGGAGGGGGCCGGGGCTGACCTCGGAGGATGTAGCTCTGGTAGTTGTGGTCAGCAGCGGCACCCACCCGGATCAGGCAGCTCAGCCCGTCCGAGTGCACGAACTCCGGCACCAAGTCCTTATCCTCCTGGGGGGCACCACAGGGAGGGGGGGGGAGGAGTTAGAGGGGCTCAGGTTGGACGTCCACCCCCAGCCCACCTCGGGGCCTCACCTGGAAGATCTGCTTTAGTGAGAAGAGGGCGCGGCGGAGCTCTGGGCCGCTGGAACCGTACAGCTTTTCTGCAAGGGGAAGGTGGGCATGGAGGCCCCAAGGGGCTTGACACCCTCCTCCCCTGGGACATGACTACAACCCCCAACCAAGAACTAACCTATCTTGGTCCTGGCACTCTCGAAATCCACTCCAACTCCCCATACCCCTCATCACGGTCTTACTGCAGCATCTAAGCTGGCCTTGGAGGGGCTAGTTAGAGGAGGGGACGCATTTTGTGCCCTACCTGCCCTGTCCTGTCTAGCCCAGGCCTGAAAGAAACCCAGCCATCTGGTCTGTGCAGGGGGTCGGGGGCTACCGCTGGACGCTCGGGCCCTCACACACACTCACCCAGGATGGCGCTGACCCTCACAGAGAGCTGAGTCCGCAGAATCAGCGTGGGCTTCCTCCCTTTGCTGAAATCAAGCAGTTGGGTTAGCCGCCCTCAGCCCAGGCCACAGGCTCCTCTCCCTGCTGCAGGCTCCTCCCCTCACCAGTGCGAGGGTCTCCACAAACACCAGGCAGGTGCCAGAGTCACCCCGATGCCCATCAGCACTATCCTTGGGATTACCCTGGCACAGTTCCGGGGCTCCAGGAGGTGACCCGGAGTCCAAGATGGGGATCGGGTTTCAAAGCTGCTGACAGACACCTGAGCCAGTCCCAGGTGGGGCCTGCCCTGCTGCTCTGACCTGATCTCTTCGTAGAAGCCTTCCAGCATCTCCCGCTGCTCTTCCAGGGACAGCTCGGGGTCCAGGTAGTAGCCAGAGGGAGACACTTGCAGGGCACAGTCCTCCAGCTGAAGGCAAAGGGAAGAGCTGCCAGGGCTGGGGTGGGGTGACAGGAGGACACCCCTGGCCCTCTATCTCCCACGTGGGTGTTGATAGAGAGCTCCCCCTCCCCAGCAAGGATCTGAACTGCAGCCGTGCCCCCAGTCCTCAGGCACCTATGCTGAGCCAACCCCCACACAGCCAGGCAGCCAGGAATTTCGGCTTCCGGTCCTTGCTCTTGACCTAACACCTACCAACTAGTCTTTAGCTTTGGGAGAAGACTTCTGGGACCCCCTTATGTGTGCCCCTCAGACTTTCCACATAGATCATCCTCTTCCCACCAACTAGGCTCTTTGAGTTCAAACCCAACGCTTGCCTTGCCCCCTCCCACCCCCTGCACCGGCCTCTGCACCCCCCTCCCTCCTGGTGTCTGCGAAGCCCAGCTGGGCACGGAGCACACTGCAAGTGCTTGTCTAGCTAATGCTGGGGAGAAGATGAGAGGAAGTTCCCACCATCTAGGAAGCTCACAGCCCTTATCACCCTGGGTGATAAGCTGCAGCCACACAGCCTTAGGGTGCAGGGAAAAAGGTGTGGTGTCTTGGTAGGTGGAACCCAGCAAGGAAAGGAGAGGAGGGCAGAGGAGGCTCTGTGTGTGTGTGTGTGTGTGTGTGTGTGAGGCAAAAGTGGAGAACCAGGGCTAATCCATAGATTCTCCCCAAATGGGCTACAGTGACAATGATCCTAGCTGGTTCTCAGGGTCTTACTGGGCCTCAGGGGGGCCCCAGTGCCTGCATTGATTGCAGGAAGGCACCCACTGCTTTTTGGTGTTCCCCTCTTCCTGGGCCTGCCCCTCCACCACCAGGCACTTGGCCCCTGAGAAGTGCCTGCAAAAGGGGCCAGAGAGAGGTGCCTCTCAAGAGTCTGAGAGCAGCATGCTGCCTCTCCAGAACCTCCCGTCAACAGTATGCCAGGCTTATCCAACTCCCCTGGACTTGAGTGGCCCTGGCCCAGGGAAGGCCCACTTCTGGAGAGGCAGGGGTGGGGGTCTTCTGGCCTCTTTCCGACAGGCCACATCAACCCTTCCATTTGTCCCGCTCTTCTGTCCGGCCTGCCCTGCTCCAGCCCCAGCCCCACGGCTGCCCGCTGCCCTTAGTCCCCTGAGCAGAGACTCCCTTTCTCTGCCGATGTTTTGCTCCCCACCCTGCTCATCCTCAGAGCCTGACCTGACCTGTCTCCTTCCTGCCAGTTCAGCCTGTGGGCGTGCTGGTGATTCCCCCCCCCCCCCCCCTCGCCTGGGACATGGGACAAACACTCCACACTGTCCTGTTCCACTTCCTGCCTGGCCGGTTGCTCTCCTTGGGAGGCCTTGGGCGGGCTTGGCCTTGCTCCTCACTCTGGTGGCAAGCCACCTTCTTTCTCTCTCTGTCCCCACAGGGACAGGTGGGAGAGAGGGCAACCAGGCACCAACCAAGTCTGGGGACCGTGTCAGCTCGGGGTCTCCTCGTCTGCTTCCCACACGGTGACTCAGCAACTGACTCACCCTACCCCATCCAGGCCCAGCTGCACCTCCCTCCTTATTTTGGAGGATTCGGGGACCCTCAAGACACATCTCTCTCTCAGAGCCAGCTATCCCCCAAACCCGGGACCCTCCAAAATCACACATACGGTGATACATTAGTCACACATCCAGGAACCAGACTTGGTTTTAGGTGATGAGGACTACAGGAGACAAGCCGGTCCCCTCCTTCCTTTTCCCCCTGCCAGCCATGGAAACAGCCTTCAGAAGAAACTAGCAAATACATGTCGAATCACAACTTACAGGGTGCTGAGACAGGGCGGCATAGTGTGAGGAGACAAACCCTGGCAGGGTGGTCTCTACTGCGCTCGGTAACAGCTGGTGCACCTGGGACATGCCCACGGGGCCCTTGAAGGCCTGAGAACCACGCATCCCCAGCCAGGTGGCCCACTGGGACATCTCTGCCCCTCCTGCCAACATGCGGGGCTCTCCTCCCAAGTATGCAGAGAATGGCCTCTTATGCCCGGACACCCACGCCTGTCCCCACTTTCCCCAGCCTCCTCAGGCCAGCAGGCTTAATCCCTTCCCTGTGCAATGGTAGCCTCGGTTTTCTTAGCTACATTCCCTGTCTGATCTTGTTAGGGCTGTTTCTGGGGATGTGGGTCAGAGTACCAGTCAGCCCAATGCCTCCAGGACAATGCCCCCCACCTCAACTGTCTGTCCTGGGTGGAGGTGGGGGCTGTGGGCCAGGGCCTGGCAAGCAGCAGATGGGAGACTTCCTGCCAGGATGGTGCTTGTCTCTAACACCCCTGTCCCTTTCCGGGGTCGCGGTTCTGGGAGCCAAACCGCTGGGCCTTGTTTCTCGCACCCTGGGGCTGGGCCAGGCCTGCACAGGCCAGACACTGGTCTTGGCTGACAGGAAGAAGGTCACCTTAGAGCATGGGTATACCCATGATCCCCTGCTGGGTGGAGAGCCCCACCCACGTTCCATCCTCCTAGGCTCAGCCCCGGCCTCTGCCTCCAGCCCCGCTTTCTCTTGCAGCTCTGAGACTGGGCTTTTCTGGCGGATGAGCTTCTGTGGGGTCAAGAGCAAGGGATCATAGTATCTACTCCCCAACATTTTCACAGCCGTCCATTCAGGTCCGAATGGGCGTGTGGGGAACAACTGGGAATGAGGGGAGGTCGGCTGACAACAGCGTCATGTCATGTCACCTCAGAGCAGCAAGAACAAAGAAGGTGGAGAAGAGGGTGGAAGTAAATGCTAAGGGCCTGGCGCCTGGCCTTGGGTTCACAACCTCTCTCTTCTTCTGGCCTATAAACTGTGGCCTGTAGTCCTTGTTATCTTGGGTCTTCAGCTAGAGGGTGGCTTCCTGGATGAGGTGACAGAAACCTGACTAAAAAAAAAGAAAAGAAACCTGCCTATGTGGTGCCCTCCCCTTGCCGGCTGCTGGTGTCTACTTCATTGGGGTCTCCCCAGGATCCTTTTCCAGGTGAGAAACCTGGCTCAGAAGTCCAGCGAACTTACACCGGCCACACTGCCAGGAAGGGAGCAGGGCTAAGTAACCCAGATCTTGGGGTGGAGGGGCCTTGGAAGTGATCCACGGAATCCTGGGTGGGAGGGGAGTGAGGGCTGGGGCCTGAGACACCTGCCCTGCCCCCGTCCCCCAGGTTTCTGGACTCTACAAATACTCCAAACTGGTCCTCCCGGTTCCAGCAAGGGGACCTGTGAATAAACAGCATGCATACTGTGAGGCGAGGCAGTACCTACCCCTACCAGGCCTTAAGGACTTGCTTGCTCACTGGGTTGCCCACCATACTGGACATGCTGACCCCAGAGAAGGCTGGGAGGAGGCCAGGACCCATACACCCACCATAATCGTCTCCAGTCCCCCTTTCCAATAAACCCCCAAAGCAAGGGACACAAGAACACCCCACTTTCCTTCTTTTTATGGGCCCTCTGTGACCCCTTCAATTGGCTGAGACTGATACCCCAGGTCATGGTCACAATTTAGCTCTTTGGCCATAAGGGGCAGGAGCCGGAAACACTGGCAGTGGATACCCTTGTCCTGGCCGGGCCTCTAGCCACAGCTGGGGAACCAAAATTGCTGATAGTGGTCAAGTCTCTAGGGCTCGAGGCCCCTGGGCTACACAAGTGGTTTGCTACTGGCTACTAATGGAAAGGTTGGCAATTCAAACCCACCCCATGGCACCCGAAAGTAAGGCCTGGTGATCTGCTTCTGTAAAGATCATAACCCAGAAAGCCCTATGGAGCAAGCGTGAGCACACACGGACTGCCATGAGTCAGAGCTGACTGGGTGCCAGCGGGCTTGGGTTTTGCCCTAGGGCTACTCCTGCTGTAAGGAAGAGGGGGCTGCTCTGCCCTCTGCCCAGGGTCCAGGGAGGAGTCCATGATATCCCAGATACAGCAGGGCCCTGGGGCACAGGGAGAGGCTCCTGAGGCCTCTCCAGGAAGGGCAAAGGGCATCTCCAGGAGGGCGGAACAGAGGCTGTGCTGGGTAATAGCTTTCCTTCCAAAGCAGAGGCAGGTCCTAGAGAAGCCCCTTTAGGAGGGCTTGGAAAGACTCCTTAGTTCCCCTGGGGTCACAGGGCCAGGACCAAGGCACTGTCCGGGCCAAGGCATTGCCAGGACCCCTCCACATTCACCGCCCTCACCCCCTCCACCCCGTCCCCAGGGCCCAGAGATGAGTCAGAGGCTGTGGCCAGGAGCTTCCTCCTCTGCTGGGAGGAAATGAGCAAGGCCTTCTTAGACCTGCACGTTCTTTGGAAAGGAAGCCCCCAAGGATGCTGTGGACAGGAGGCCGGGCCTGGGAGTGGGGGGTAGGGAGTGAGGAAGGGTGGAATCCCAGAAAAGGAATGGGCCAGGCCTCTGAACATCGCCAGGGATGGTGGGGGTCAGGGCCCATGGGGCGGGGGTGGGGCAGCTACCACTTGGCTGTGGCCTGGTCCTCCGGTGTACAACTGTATATGCACAGGGAGACACCGTGAGGCGAGTCCCTCCCTCTTATTTCTGCCCCACAGCAGGGATGGGGATGACTGGGTTTGGGGTTCCTCTCCTCTCTAGAGGCCCGCCTGATTCATATCTGTGTCTCTCCTGGGGCACCCACTTAGGGGATGAGGGGAGGAACAGCTGTTGACATTTCCTGCTAGGGCCCTGCCCTCTTTCCCCCAGCTCTGGATGTCCTTGCCCCTCCTTGGTTCTCAGCCCCTCTTCCAGCCTTCTATTCTGGGGCTGTGGTCACAGTTTATATTTGGGACGAGCACATCGAAGTACATCTGACCCTTCCTGGCAGAGCTGCCCGCCCTAGGGAGCCTCCAAGCCAGGCCCTGTGGTAACCCAGGGTGCCTGCCCCCATGCCTTGCCTCTAGGGCAAGGGTGGGAGGCAGTCCTCAGGTGCTCCAGGTGGGGACCTGATTGGGTCCTATTGGTGCAAGTGCTTCTGAAAGTGGGGGAGAGGTCTTAACATACATTCAAGTGTCCTTAGCTCCAGAGAGCACTTGGTGGGATGTGGCAGGCCCTTAAATGAGGGAAGGGAGGGAAGAGGCAGTTCTAGGCTTCTTTCCTGCAGCTGACCTCCCAAGCCTGTGCTTGGTGGGGAAGGGATGTGTCAGGCCAGGCAGGCCTGGTCCTAGGTTGGAGGGGGAAGGGGGGTCTCCACAGGAAAACTAGCTTCCCTCCGGTGCCTGCCTTATTTTAGCGCCAGGAATTCCTGGGGCACTGGGTGGGACCAGCATCCATGTCACCCCAGCCCTCAGCACGAGAGGGTAGCACCCAAACTCTGAGGGTGGGCAGTGTGTGGCAGCCTGTGGCCTTGATGCCGGGACTCTGCCTGGACACATGTCGCCATCTAGGCGAATGGTCCGCCCACCACTTCCATCCCCGCTCGGAGGCGTGGCTGGCCCGCGGCGCCAGGAATGCAGGCTGGGGGCCTGGCGCCCGGGTCACATTCCAAGGGAGACCCCGGGTCCAGGGGCCAAGTTTGCGCAACGCAGCGCCCAGCTGAGGCTGGAGGCTGGGGAAGACACCCCGAGGCCCCCACTCCCCCGCCGACTCTCTCTCTCCCTTCCCACCACTCTTGGAGCTGCGGCGGGAGACCCTGGGGGGTGGTACGCGCCTCCCGGCATCCCGGCCCGGAAGCGGAGAACGCCGGAAAAGGCTGTTTGTGGGGGGCGAAAAGCTGAGAGAGGGAGGAGGGGAGGCAGGCGGCAATCTGGAAACGGGCCTCTCCGGGTACCGCGCGCGATCGGTTCCGGGGCCCGGGCAAACCAGGGCAGACCTTGGTTTAAAATTAGCCCAGCCCGCCTCCTCCCTCCCAGCTGCGGGCCGGTGGCCGCAGGCGTATCGGGTGGGGTGGGGGCAGTGACTCAGAGGGCTTTTCCACCCCGTACACCCTCCTGCGCTCAGCTCGGCCTATCCCCGGGGGGGTCACTTCCCAGGGACTCCCAAGCCGGACCCCCGCCCTCAGCGACAAGGCATTCAAGCCGCCAGACTCAGTCAGCCACCAAACAGTGTTTTGAGCTGGGGCCACCTCTAGTTGCCCGCCCCAGGCCCGCCCCTCGCTGTGGTCCCGCCCCACTTCACCTGAAGCAGGTGGTAGCTGGTCCCTCCCCAGCTCCGCCTCCTGGATCCGCTAGGGTCTGAACAGCGCCTTCTACCATCCTAAGGCAGCTACCTGGCAGACGGGCAGCGAAAGGACCCCCAGAACCTGTCCAGGCTAGACCTGGAGTGGCACCGGGGTGGCGCAGACCACAAACTCCCATCATCTCCCTTCCTTAGCACCCTCACGTCCCCTGAACCTAAGGGGCGTCCCTGCAGGGGAGGCAAGAGGGACCTTGGGCCCTCGGCCCAAGGCTGTCCCCTAGGGGCGCACCCACTTTGGCATCTCCCTGCAAGCACCTCCTAGAGGCTTCATGGCGTCCACCCTGAACTCCTAATCACCCCCCACCTTTCGCCGCACCCTTTCACCTTGAGTGGCGGCCCCAGCAGGCGGTGCAACGCAGGTATTTGCGCGCCCAGGGGTAGCGTCCCGTCCAGGCTGCAGGTAGGGGCCCGGCGCGGCTCCGGGAAGTTGGCACATGCGAAGGGGTCGGTGTCTTCCAGGTACTGTACCCGCACAGTCACCACTGATACCGGCTCTCCGTCCCCGCGGTCTTCCCCGCCCGCCATGGCCGTGCCAGAGCGACGCCGAGCACCTCCAGACCCTGCCTTGCAGCCCTTGCTACCGGATTAGCTCTGAGTCC